CTTGGGGCCATCTTGGCCGTATTGGAGGCCACCTTGGGCGTCTTGGAGGCAATTTGCACTGTCTCTGGGCCCTCTTAAGGCAGTCTTGGGGGCCTCAGGGGCAGTCATGGGGCCATGTTTGGGCTTCTTGGAGCGGTCCTTAATCTCTCTTTGGGGGCCCTTGCGAGCCGTGGAAGGCATTTTTGGGGCCATCTTGGAAGCGGTCGGTGAAAAGAGGGGGCGCCCCGATCGATGCCCCTCCCCTCGGAGGCCACGACCCGTGTGAGGGTGGCAAAAATAGCATTCCCATGGTCCGAAAAGGTGCGCTCTAACTAACTACGCGCGGCCCCCTCGCCCGCCCAGGTGGGACGGGGGAGGGAGCAGTGATAAACCCTTCCCTGAATGGGAAGAGGGGTTGTTGGAAGAGGGAAGAGGCATCTAGGCCACCTGTCGCCAAAAGGCTGGTGGGATAACGATCGAGTCGCCCGTGTATTGATTGAATAGAAGCCTCCGAAGACTGATTGCAGCATTGAACGGGGGTATTAGAAGCCTTGCAAATTCTCCAAGAGGTTCTGTTGCTTTGGCACATCCGTAGCCATTTTGGCTCAGGCGTCAGCCCCTCCATGCCATTGGAGGGGTGGGCGCATTTCGTCGGGCCGTCCAGCCCATCGCCGAGCGAGGCCGATGCGCCGCCCAGCGGCGGCTGGGCTGCGTTCGCGGATGGCGACGCGGGCGGCTGGGAGGCTCTCGCGGGAGCAGCAGGCTCGTTGAGCCCTGTCGAGGACGGCGCCGAGGAGCCCGCGCGGGACGGGCCTCCGCTGGACAGGGGGGCTAAGCGGCGTCGGCGGCGCGCCACCGCCCAGGAGCTGTGGCGGCCCGTTGGTGCTGCTCTGGCGGCCAAGGACGTCGCCGCGCCGCTGGCAGCTCCGCGCGGCGACGTCGAGCCAGCCGACGGCGAGGGCGCCTCTGAAGGCGACGGCGAGCCAGCCGACATCGAGGGTGCCGTTGGCGACGTCGTGCCCGATGAGATGCAGATTGTTGTTGCTGGTCCAGTCGGGCCGCCAGCTGATGCCTTAGATCAGGACTGCGAACGTTTACGGGGCCTCCTGCATGTTCAACGGCAGCGTCGCGGTAGCCTCCTGTATAACCCATTGTTGGTTGCGCTTGGCGTCGTAAGAGAGGACCCTGACAGACCAGGTATGTTCGACAAAGTGGCAACAGATACGATCAATGCGATCCGTGGCAAACTGGCGAACCATATGATGAGTGAAAGTGTCAGTGCCCAAGCTGCTGGAGTTAGCAGGTCGGTGTTCGCAAGATGTAAGTCACGGTTTGTGGCGCTGGCAATGTTGACAGAACGAGCAATGGCCATCAGCATGATGAATGCTTGCGTTGGGAGGGTTACAAGTGCAGGTGGCGAGTGCATGTTGTTTTCTCAACAGTGCAGGTTTGATGAGACGAAGCTGACAGCCGCATGTTTTGACAACGACGACGCATCCTTGGAACTAGTAGTTGGAACCGCGTTGGAGCGACACGACCTTTCCAGAGCTCAGATCGACATGGACGGCGGCAGAGAACCAACTCATGTGTCAAAATTGCCATTGTTGAACACAGAATGGTTGTACACTATGTTGTTCAAGATCGGTGGATCATACACTGAGGTTTCTTTCAACGTGCTCGTGCCGATCCAGGTTATGACGGCTGGCAAAGGCGAGAACTACGCAGCCGCGGTGGAGGCGAGTGGCTTGGATACGTCTGGAGTGTCGAGGTTGTTCAAGCACAGGCAGAGGGTTGTGTGCACGGATGGCGACGGTGCGATCGCCAGGGCTGAGAGGTTTTCCAGCGTTCTGGGTGCTGGGCAGTTGGCTTTACACAACAGGTGCCACGTCCACAGGGCAGCGACTGCGAAACATGATGCGTGTTCCCTTCGTTCAGGCCTCATCAGCTCCCTCACGCACACAGCGCCGGCACTCAAGGGCCCCAGTTGCATGCTGAAATTCCGCAAGGTCGTTGGAGACATCGTCATGAGGCGGCTCAACATTGTCAGGGACACGCTGCCGCACCCCAGAGTTGTTGCCAAGAACGCAGATGTGTTGTATCGTTTGTTGCCAGGCCTCCACGATACCAGTGCGGTCAAGCGCAGGACTGTCATATTGTCGTTGGCCAATGGTTCTTGGGATGATACGGAACGGGTTCACTTTTTCACGACATCTGACAAGCCAGATGCGTACATCAAGCGCTTGTTTCGGACAACGTTCGTGAAAGCGCTTGTTGGAGATGGTCCTAAATCGTTCCCTAGTCGGAATTGGGTTGGGTCTGAGGTCACGCCGTCCTGGATCGGTGTTTTGTTGGCGGTTCACAATATTTTCGCTGAAGCCTTCGTGACGTTCTGCAGGCGAGCTGGTACTACTGGTGATTATGCTGCACCAGGCTGCCTCCCTAAACCCGCCATCCTCTTCACCCCCCTCATCTCCGTCCCCCATCTCTTCTTTGTTTTTTTTTTCAGGCGAGTCGCAATTGGGGATTGGCTCTGGCGGCGTTGCTGATCCAGTGGCTGCCGCTCGCGCGGCCGCCGACGGGCATCGGCGAGAAGCGCTCCTTTGGGCCACGAGGGAGTACGACTGTCCATTCGCAGACGTCTTTGCAATTAGATCCCTCATGGAGCCTCATCGTGCGTACATGTTCAAATCAGTGACGCTTCGCGACACGCCCAGGCTCGCTAATGAGATTGCCCATGCGTGGCCCATTCGAGTTGTCCTGGTCACGAGTTCCCCTGGTCGGGCCCAAGGTTGCGAGGGTATGGGGCCCACCGTGTAATTAGAGTTATCGCCTTGGCCAGCAATTTGATAATTTGGGGACGGTCGGCGGGGGGGAAGGGGGAGCAACAATAATAGCACATCATGCATAGTGAGTGTTGGTGGGTGTAGTTGCGCGTGCCAATGCGACCCTTAGTTACCTTATGCGTGCGTTTGCGTGCCGCGGCATCGTCTGTGCCCGTGCCGTTGGGGCTTGGGGCTATCTTGAGCCACGTTGGGCATGATTGAAGTGGCACGGTGATGTCGTGTGCATTCCCACGCAAGTCTTGGAGCTATATGGGGGTATCTTGGACGCTCCTGCCGCCCTCCGCCCGCCGCGCCCAGGCGCGCCAAGGTTTGGCGCATGTAAGTCTCTACATATCCCCGCAGGGGAAGAAACTGTCGTAAGCCATGCTCGCCCTGCGCGGCGATGTTAGGATTACTCAGATTGGCATCGGAAGAGCGGGACCGCACACAGGCCGTCCGTGCACTGGGTGCGGGCGATGGCGGCGGCCCACGTCCCACATATAGGATGCTTGAGGTCTTCGGAGCGAGGCGCGATGCTGAGTTCATTCGTGACATGCACGTGGTAATGATGGATGATTCGCTGTGGTCGCACATACCGTCCATTGGTCGCACTGGCGAGGGGGAGGCGTGGGTGTTTTCAAGTCTGTACGCTTCGCGTGTCACCGCCAGCACATCCCAAACCAGCCACCTTTGCGACGAAAGCCGACGGTCGTGGTGCTCGGGCCCACGCGGCCTCCTGCTCTCGCACATCTCCGCCTCCTCCCTCCACCTCCTATGTGTTCTGGTGGTTTCCCCGTAGGGTGTTTGCAGGGTACTGGTTTCTCGGTGCTCTCTTGGGCCCCCCCCAAGGCTCTCTTAGGGGCGTATTGGGGCGCTGTACGCTGCACGGCCATCTTGGGGCACCCTGGGAGGGTATGTGACGTATGTGTGAGGGGTACCCTCGATCAAACAAAGTTGCGAGCATTTATCTGGTTTCATCCCTCCCCGCCCCCCGCAGGCCCGAACCGTCGCCGCATAGTGCCATATGGCCCTATGGGCCGCTCTTGGTGCGCCCTTGAGCGCACTCGGGCCCGCCTCGGACCTCTCTTTAGCTGGAGGCGTCAGAAGAGACGAACAGACAAGAAAGGAAGCACACGCGCACATGGTTGTCCCTAAGGTTGTGGTGCGAGGTTGGCTTCTCGGGCGCGTCCTTGGGAGACATCGTTGCCGCGTTGCGTCCTGGGGCCGCATTGAGGCGAGGTGGGGGCCACTTGTAAACATGTCGTGGGCGATATTGGGCCATGGATGGCTATCTTGGGCGGTCGCTGCGGCATCTTGAGCACTCTTACGCACCCATACTTGGATCCAAAGGTCGCCCCAATCCATCGCGATGGAGCGCCATCCAGGCCCAGGGAGAAGGGGGTAGAAGGGGGGATCGCACCCCGCCCCGACAGGAGAGGAGTAGGGGTTGAACAGGGCGGGCGACCTAGACCACTCACGCCCAGAGGGCTGGTAGGATTGCTGCGAAGTCTTGCTGCAGGGTCAACGCGTTGATGGAGAGACACAGGTTCAAGCAATCTACCGAACCGAACCCCTTCTCGGAGTTCGCCACACAGCCACGGGGGTGGGGATGTGGACTAGGGGCGGCGGGCGTCGGCTGGAGGGCCGAACAACAGAAGGGGGGGAGGCGCGGCGGCATGCGCGGATAGCCGCGACCCACCGCCATTCACTCCACCTTTCCGTCCACATATCGCCCGTATCATCCTTTTGCCCGTCTTCCCTCCCCGCCAGCCGGTCCACGTGTCCACCGTATCGTTTGCAAACCAATGAACTAAATTCTTGACGCTTCGCGCCCCCGCCAGCCCCAGCCCATCGACTACGCCTGCGGCAGCTGATGCGGCCGCGGAAGGCGTGGCGCGCACTGGCGCGCTATGGAAAGGGTCGCGCCGCCATTTGAAGGTGTCATGGAGCAATGTTGGATGCCATCTCGGGCAACGTGTTGCTATATTGGGTTCGTGTTGGGGCCGTCGCGGTCCGCGGTGCGGGCTTGGTAGGACGGCGGGCACTCAATCGAACAGAGAATCTGAGGCGCAGGTGTCGCGTTGATCCGCCTGGGGTCCATGGCCCATGGGGGCTGGCGGAATCGCCCCCCCCCCAGAAGCCTTTGTCGCCGACGCCCGCCGCGCCCAGGGTAAGGGGGGTGGGGTTCGGTATTCATAGGTTTTACCCCTTCAAGTTGTTCGGTCTGCTCGGCGACGAGCGCGAGAGAGTGGCAGCCGAAATGCTCGATGACAGACCGTGTGTGCGAGACCAGTGGTCGAACGCCATGCTCGAGGCGTACGGCGGGGACCCGCTGTCAGCCGACTTGCTTGCCCACTTGCGAGCCACGGCCACGTATGCGAGGGAGGAGACAGTGCAGATTGAAGCTAAGCACGCTACGTCGCGGCGTCGGCTCATCGGCTTGAGCGTGCAGTCCAAGCGGGTGAGCGTCGAGCGGTTGAACGCTGACAAGTTGCATTCTGAGATGCGGAAGTTGCCAGGGCAGCGAGTTGAGGTCGACGGTGGCGGCGCGACCCTTGCGCGCCCTGAGAGGCCAGATGGGAGGCGCAGGAGACGTCTCCACAGCGCGTGGTCCGTTTACTGTAGTGACCAGCTGCGGGCCCGTGCGTGCACGTCCTTCTCTGAGTGCTCGGAGGCTTACCAAGCGCTGTCAGGCCCTGACAAGCGCGCCTTGAAGCAACGTGCTGATGACACGAATGCCCTGGAAACTGCAATCGGGGACGACGGCGGTGCGCCTGTCGCCAGCCACGCTGCTCGGGACATCACGTTGGCCCAGCTTGCCGACCGCATTGAGTCCGAGGCGCAGCGCTTGGGAGACACGGTGGACAACCCTTTCCAGTTGGCCGCCCGCAGAGTGTCCAGTGAAGTTGCATTCAGCGGCGACTTGGGCAACACCGCAGAGTGCGTTCCAATCGATGGCTTGCGCCATTGCAAGAAGGCGTGGCGAGCCGCATCCATGTTATCGAGGCGGATATCTGATGGGGAGCGCAGAAGGTTAGAGGCGTACCAGCTCAGCACAGGCGGTTTGCAGGAATACTTAGAGAGATGCGCGCCCGTGATGGATACTGACATGCTGCAGCGAAGTTGGTCGGACCCACAACCTGAACCTTCGTACCATAGGGTTATGTGGTCACCGCCTGACTTGGCGAACGTGGCTCACCGCCTTGCGGCCTTGGACCCAGCAACGCGCCCAGTGAAGACGTTATTCAAGGCAGCTTCCGAAGCCTGGCGCTCAGCCAATTTGCCGGTCCGCACCGTTGCATGGAGCAGAGAGCCGCCACTGACACACCGCAAGTGCCATGATGCTGGGATGTGCATTTGCAGTGGGCAGGGCCGCAAGATTGCCAGGTGCATCGGCAACCTTGTCTCTGCGACCAAGGCAGCGTGCCCTGCTGGCTCGACTGAGCGATCTAGTTTATTGGCTGCTCGGGTTGTTGTCCTCCTGATAGGGCGCGATCCCCCGCTGGCACTGGAAGACCATGAACGTTGCGATGCAGGCTCGCACCAGTCCAAGTGGCTCTTGATCGGTGACGTTCACCAGCGGCCGTGGCGCCTTGATTTCAGCATACTGGTGGCAGGAGATGGCTTTTCACTGGATGTTCGCGAGGGGCGGGCTGCTTTCGAGAATGACGTCATGCTTGATTATGCGTACTCCGAGAGTATTGACGTGCGGGCTCTGGGGGACTTGGATTTAAAATTGACATGGCACGCTTGTTTCTGGATTGCGAAGGACAAGGACGGCGTCCTCGATGCCGTGCGCCCACGGCGCCTGAATACATCGCTTTTGGGCGACGGCTTGCTGCGGCTTATCTGGGAGCCGCCTGCTGCGAGAGAGCCGCGCGGCAGCTGGGGCGCCTTGGCCGCCATCGACGACGACGGCAGCGACTCTGGCGCAGAGGGCGGCGGCGACGTGGGCGAAGACGAGGGCAGCGCGGGCGGGGAGGAGCCCGCCTCCTCGTCGAGCTCAGCGTCTTCGTCGTCCAGTTCGTCCTCGTCCTCGTCATCAAGTAGCGATGCTGAGGCGAGTGGCGGGGGCGAGGGCGAGAGCGAGGACGATGCCCCCCCCTGCCGCTCGCGCTGGCCATGCCGCGCCTGACGAGTACGGCGACTCGATCAGCATGCGGCTCGGTGGCGGGACCTTGGTCTGGTATGCGGCCAGCCGCCGCATGTTCGCGCTGTGCGACTGCGTGGACCACGGCGGCAGGGCCGTGTGCAAAGTCAATCGGCAGTGCTTCGCGGGAGCCAGGCGCTGGGTCGGCAGGCCTGCTGGTTTCTTGGCGGCGTGGCTCCTGTCACGCGATGACTATGTCGGGGCCAGGGAGCACATTTTTCATTGCCGCCCCTCGTATCTACGGAGGAGGGCGGCCCGCGATGCGTTGAAGGCCACGGCTGATGGCCGCCTTCTTCTGTCAAAAGAGAGAGACAAGGTTGACGGCGAGGATAGCGAGTGCGATACGTTCAGGTAAACATGTCCACTTTGCCCCCCCCTCGCCCTTCCCCTCCTGCTCCTCCCCCCCCCTCCCCCGCCATCCGGCCTGAAGGGGCGGGCGGCCTGCTGGCGGCCCGCCCGTCGCTCCTCGGCCCCCGCCTGCCCTCTCGCGCTTCGCGGCCCCACAGGGAGCTCCACCTCCGCGCCTGGGGCCCCAGGGGTCCACGAGGAGGAGGGCTGAGGCGGGGGAGGGCAGAAGGTGCACGCGCAGAGAACTTATGGTGGACCTTGGGACTAGGTCCTAGTACTACTACTACTACTACTACTACTACTACTACTACTACTACTACTACTACTACTACTACTACTACTACTACTACTACTACTACTACTACTACTACTACTACTACTACTACTACTACTACTACTACTACTACTACTACTACTGACTACTACTACTACTACTACTACTAACTATGAGTATGGCTACGAACTGCTACGACTATGAGTATTGCTACTTGCTATAGGTGCCATCCGAACTATGAGTTTGCTACTAATACTAACTACGAGTGAAGGACTACTACTACTACTACTTACTACTCGGCGAGGGGCGGCGCGGCTGCGCTGGGGCCGCCGGGCGAGGACCCGCGGGAAAGGGGTGAGGGGGAACAAAGGAGGGTGTGGGGGGGGGGGGGGGGGGGGGGGGGGGGGGGGGGAGGGGTGGGGGGGGGGGGGAGGAGGGGGGGTGGGGGGGGGGGGGGGGGTGAGGGAGGAGGGGGGGGAGGAGGGTGAGGGAGGAGGGGGGGGAGGAGGGGGGAGGGAGGAGGGAGGAGGGAGGAGGGAGATGGTGCGGGAGGAGGAGGAGGGAGGAGGGAGGAGGGAGGAGGATGGTGCAGCATATCATTGCGTAGCTTTGAAAGCAAACCGTCGGGTCACATCGATGCGCCTTATGTTTTATGCCTTTGGCATCCGCCGCTGGTTTCTCAGAGGCACCCGATATGCCACGGGGGGGTGTTGAGAGGCCCATGCGGGGCTTTCGAGGGCATCCCAGAGGCTTCCAACGCTCCTCATCATTGCTTCCCTCTGCCCAGCCCCATTCACCCTCCCCCCTCTTCCTAATCCTCCCCCTCCTCGTCATCCACCCTCCCGTTTCGTCTTCCTCCTCCGTCAAATCACCTTCCTCCCCCATCCCCTCCTCCACAGCGCGACGCCCTCGCATTCCCCCCCCCTCCTCCTCCCTCCACCTTGCGCGGTCGCGCCCGCAGCCACTGAGGCAGTCGGTGGAGCTCACAGAAGGGGCAAGATCCGCGTGAAGTATATCATTAGCTTTCCGATGTGTTATGCGGCAGTGCCCCGCGGCTGGCACGCATAGGTGGAGCTACATGCGGAACGCGATCCGCGTCAGGGCGCGCCGAAATATGATTGCACGGCGGCTCACAGCGCGCAGCGCGCACGCCATTCACTGCCACAACGTTTAAATCCAGCGCTTGACGGCAATCCCGCCACCGTGCTTGGGTTGCGGGCCAGAGAGTAGCGTTTATCGAAGACTCTTGGGTGTCCATTGGGTGCGCGTGGGAAGAGTTCGGATAGCTAGTCGTGGCGCCGTCTTGGGCAGTTAATCAGTTCCGCGGGGTGGCCAGCGTTGGCGCGGGGCTGGGGGGGGGGGTGGAGGGGGGGTGGGGGGGGGGGCGTCGGGCTCTGTTTCCAAGTTTGAATGTAATGGTAATGTAGCGCGTCAAAGTTATCAGACATGGTACGCGTTGATGCTGTCATTCGCCCCGCGCTAAAGTTTGCCTGCGCAGCGACAAGCACAACCGCGTGCGAACGGTATTCGGTAAACCGTTTGGCCAACGACTGTTGCGCTGCGAACGTCGGCGCGACACATGTGTTGCGTTGTTGGCGCAGCGAACCGTGAGCGCCGATGCCTTTTCGCAGCCGTTCACGGCGTCGCAGGCGACCCGCGCCGAGGGATGCCATCGCCAGATTGCGATTGCATCGGTGCCCCGCGGTGGCGCGTTCCATTGCCGCGGGGCACGTGCCTCCGTAGCTGGGTTTCAAGCGCGCCCGCGTTAATGCCGCAGGCCGACAATCGTGCGCCGTCGGTTAGCCCAGACCGCGCCCCCACTTTCGCGCAGTTGCCGCCGCGCGCAACAACGCACCAGTGGATTGCACGCCGCTTCGCCCGCATTGCAAGGCTTAGCAGCCGCCCGCGCAATTGGCCCGCCCGCCCATTGCGCGGCGCCCACCCGCCCTCGCCCGCCCACGTACGTGCCCGTCCCTTGCCGCGCGACGCCGTTCCAACCCAGCGAAAGCCCTCCGCGCCATGTAGGATTGCGCCGCGCCAGTTTGGTTCAACGTCGCGGTGGCAGCTCGCGTTCTCGCGTGATGCGTGAAAGTTAAAGGGTCGCGCGCGCCCCGCCGCGACGGTGGTTTCGCCCGCGCGGTCCACGCGCCGTGGCGACGGTCGGCCACCGCTGTCCTCCCAGGGCGATATGCACGGCTTCGTCTTCCTCGGAGTTCGAAAAAGTCGTTTAGCCTTGCGCGCGATGCGTGGGAATGCATCAGCCGAGCTGCGCCATCCAGGATACATTGAAGTCCTGGAATGTCTGCTTACCCGCGATGAGCAGGACTTCGTCACAACACAATGAGGTAGTTGAGCCCGCGATGGTTGCGAGAAAGCATTGCGATCGCATGTGCGCTTCGGAACTGAAATCGTGGAGCCAGAAGGTGAGTGCCGCATTGAGCTTGCGCAGCGCATTGGTGGCCGCGCAGAAGAAGGCGCCACGGATTTCGGTTATCGCAAGAGAGGTAATGAAGCACGAGGGCGACAAGGAAGCACCGCTTCCTGTATCACAAGATGCGGTTCCCAGGGTCGAGTCCAAGGCGGCGAAGAATAGGCCCCGTGCGGCCAGCAGAGTAGGCTCGCTTTACGTCTGCCCTCCCCCGTGCCCCGAAGAAGAAAGACGCGCGCGCGTGCGGTCCCTTCGGCGCTGCCGCTGTCGCGGTCAACCCGTAGTGGGTATACCGGAAAAAAAAGGACGCGTGCTTTGCCCGCGAACGTCCCGTTCGCCGCCCTCTGCTCTAAGGCCCAAGGCTGACCGCGCAAGCTCTATCTCCACTTCCCCTAACATCAGTTGCGTCCTCTCCTTGCCCAGTCATGGTCTCGCTCAGCTGACATGGGTGATTGATGATTCTCGGGGCGGCGCCGCAGCGCGTTGGCGCCGCTCGCGGCGCGCGCCCGATGTGGTCGGCAGTGCGCGCTGCTTTCGCGCGCGCTGCAGCCATGCGTTGCATGGGCGGCCCGCGCTTCGAAGTTATTGCTGGCGGTCGGCCGACGCAGATGTGCAAGAGGAAGGGCGAAGGGGCGACCCGCGGCTGACCTTCGTGCGCGGTGGCCCTGAGCGGCGCGCGCGATTGCGCGCAGAAGGGCGCAAACAAAGGTCGGTGGCGGTCGGGCTGGCGTGAAGCCGATGTCCGTGTGAAGAGCAGCAGCGCCGTTTTGCGCTGCGGTGTTCGGGCCCTCGCGTTCGCTCGGCCCGAAGATTCGTCTGCCGCGGTGGGGGTCATCGGGGCGTCGCTTGGGTTCGCCTGGCGGTCTGCGGGCATGCTGCCAAGGTGGGCGGGGGGGGGGAGGGGGGCGGGGGGGGGGGGGCGAATGTAACCGCGCCTTCGCGTCGTCGCCGATGCGACCGCGCCTTGTTGAGTTGGCGCGCGTCTTGGGGCCGCGCTGGCGGCGGCGACCGCGATTGCGGGCGCGCTCGCCTGCCTATCGGCACTGCGCGTGACCATTGGAGGCGCGCGCAGCCATCAATGTTTGGGTGCTGAAAAAGTTGGAGGCGAGCGGTCGCGCACCAAGTTCGCGTTCAATGTTTTGTATATGTTTTGCCTATGTGTTGCTTATGTTTTGCCTATGTTTTGCCTATGTTTTGCCTATCGATCGGCAAATCATAGACCAAACATAGAACAATCATAGAAAAAAACATTGACAAAACATTGGCAACACACTGGCAAAACATTGACAACACATAGGCCGCAGATAGGCAAAACATAGAAGCGCGCCGTGCCTCTGCCTTTTCTGTGCGCAATCTATAGGAGGGTGGGGGGGGTGGGGGGGGGGTGCACCCGCGCGCGATCTACATGGGGGGGGGCAGGGCGCGGGGGGGTGGACGGGCGCGTCGCGCGATGTGGGCTTGAAGGCGCGGCTGTGTCACCCGCCTGCGCGCGCGGGCGTCGCGTTGCGCCGCGCGCCGTCGGCTCGGGCATCGCGCGCGCAAGTTCATCCGTTAGCTTGGGCGCCATCTTGGGCGCGCGCCGCGCGCGCGCGCGCCGCGGTGCAGCCGTCGCCGCGGGCGCCGTCGCGTTCGCGCGCCGTGCCGCCCGAGCCGTCGCGCCCGCGTGCCCGTCGCCGCTACCATGGCCGCCGACGCGTCTCGACGACGGCACGCTCGCCGACGGCGCAGACTTTGCGCGGGGGAAGCCGCGCGGCGCCATGCATCGCCGCCATCGGGCCCAGGGCATCGGTTCTCGTGCAAGGCAAAGCATTGCGTTGCTCTTGCAGGGCGCGGGCCACGTACGAATGCTTGTCGTGCCTGGAAGAGGACGGGGCAGGAGGGAGGGGGGGTCAAGTTCGGTGGCGTTCCAGTTCTGCGCGAGCCTGGCGACGTTCTGAAGGGAGTTGGGTGCGGGCGCGGGGTAGAGGTGGCGCGAGGCGGGGCGGGTGGCTGGGGGGTGGGGAGGAGGGCGCGGGGGGGGGGGGCGGAGTGGGCTGGGCTGGGCGTGGTGGGGATGCTGCGGCGCGTGGGCAATGCGCTCGAACGCATGGTGCCCTAGTCTAGTGAATGCGCTGGCGGCGCGTCACGGCATGTCGGGTTTTGTTGTGCTTTCTTGCGTGATGGAGAGCGGGGCCAAGCCGACGTTCGCGCCGTCCGATCGGGCGGCGGGAGACGCCATTTGCAGCGGCATGGCGGCAGGGGGGGGGGGGGGGGCGGGAGGGGTGCACGATTGATGCGTCCGCTGCGTTCTTTGTTCTGATGTGTC